GGATACAACATATATATCATCAAGAACAACTTATTCTCGGATTACAACAAGATTAAAGGAGAATTAATTGAGAAAAACTCACAATACTGACAACCTCATTTTTTATCAAAATAACCAATTTCCACACCACAAATCTTCGATCCAATAGTCAGAATGAAGATCAACGTGTCTAGAAGCAGCTTTCAAAATCTCAACCCGATCTAACGGTGAACGAGCTGGAAATCGAAGGAAGAACACAGGCTGCTCTGCTACCTCTCCTTCTCCTTTTCTCTCTTGGTTTTCTTCTCCTCTCTTCTATTTTCAATTATGCCGCTACAGTACCCGAACCACATTAATTTGAATACCAAGAGACAGCCATCACATGAAAATTAATGTGGTGATCCCACCATCATATTGTAAGGACTATGAACACCACCTATCTCCATATTAGTATGATATTGTCCACTTTGGATCTAAGCTCTCAAAGAACTATAAACCCCCCCTATCTCCATATTAGTATGATATTGTCCACTTTGGATCTAAGCTCTCATGGATTTGCTCTTGGGTTATATCAAAAAGGCCTCATACCAATGAAGATATTTGTCCATCCTTATATACCCATGATCCTCCTCATTTCTAACCAATGTGAGATTTTGGTCGCATACCCAACAATCCTCCCCTTGAACAAAGGACCACCGAGCCTCTCCTCAAACAATCATTCATTCGTCCACTCTCTACCAACCAAGATTCTTCATTCTCTACTTCATCGTGTTGGGATCAGGATACATTCATAAAGCATCCAGAGAGCACTACCTAACGTGAGAGTTTGCTCTTTCTAGGTCAACTCCTCTTCACTGTGTTAGGATTAGGACACGTCCATGAAGGGAGTACACCACCTATCCAATAGAGTTGATCCATGGATTACATCATGTTCTAATTAGGGCCCACCACCTTTTATTTGACATTCCGAGGATTCATCCATCATAGCTAACTCCGGGGCATGACTCTGATACTACTTGTAAGGACTATGGACACCACCTATCTCCACATTAGTATGATATTGTTCACTTTGGGTCTAAGCCCTCATGGATTTGCTTTTGGGTTATACTCAAAAAGCCTCATACTAATAGAGATATTTGTTCATCCTTATATACCCATGATCCTCTCCATTTTTAACCAATGTGGGACTTTGGTTGTATACCCAACATGTTATAACATCACCGGTTAGAATTCCCAACAAGGAATTGATAAAATATTTGTTTAAGGAAAAAAAAAACCATCCTAAATGATGAAGAAATTAATTAAAAAAAAAAGTAGCATTCTTCAATTAAAATAGAAGGGAAAAGCTATGAGAGTATATATATTTTTTTTCAATCAAAAAAGGGTTTTAGTTTTCATTTCAAATATTTTTGTATCATGTTTGCTAAAACTAATATACATAAAGTAGTTTTCATGTTTCTCAAAATAATGTTTAATAAATATTAATGAATAATAAGCTTTGATTTTTATCAAAAACATTTTCTCCGAAGACCTTCTGCACTCCTGCCAATTTAATTCAAAGTCCTTATTGCCTTGATGATGCCATTGATGTTGTTTGTTGCTGCTCAGAAGAACTGCAATTTAATCTTTAATCTTCAACATACTCTGCAGACTTCTATTACCTTTCCCTGTGATTAATGACACAGACAGCGATTAAGATAAACAGAATGGTTTAGATGCATATATATGCATTATCACCACAAATAATTAGTTCTTGTGAAGGAAACAAGATTTGATTGAAAACAACGCATGGGTGGATGAAGGGATTGATTATGTAAAGATACTAAATAATTTGAATTAATGGAATTAATTAATTTAAAATAGTTAGAATTTGTTTATGAAAAACATAGTGAATATGGATGCATTTAATATCAAATTAAAAGAGGATCCACTTATTTTCTGGGTTAAAATTTTATTTAAAATTAATATTGAACAGAAATATTTTCATGTGGATGACTGGATTTAATTTTATAACTATTTTATGCATAAAAATCACTCTTATCGAGGCGGAGTAAACTAATTTCTTCGGTTGAGATTGAATTAATAAAACTAAACTCTTTATTCAGCATACCATCTTATTTTTAGTATATGAAATTAACGGACCATCCAAGAGAAAATCACTGTTATCCTTACAAGTGAAAATTAAGAAAGAGAAGACAAGGAAAAGAAAATACAATCTTACTATGATTGACAAACTAGAAAACACCTTAATAATTAGAGATCAACTTCTACGCAGGCGAGTCTTCAAATCTTGACCCTTGTATTGCCACCTCGCAAAATAATTCTTCACCAGCCATTCATACTTCCTTGTGTTCATAGCGCATCCAAGAATCAGTCCAATTACCAATCCACTTGCATAACCTATCACCACCACCTTCCAACCAAATTCAGGTGGAAATCCCGAGCCCTCATCTTCTTTAGCTGCTGGCAGCGAGTCCTCATCATTTCCACATTCTTTTGACAACGGCTCCCCACACAATCCTGGATTCGCATCAAATGACGTGTTGTCAAATGCTCCGAATTGGTTTCCTCGTGGTATCGGACCTGAGAGAAGATTGTGAGACACATTAAAGACCTCGAGGAAGGTGAGCTGTGCAAATTGGACAGGAATCTCTCCCGAGAGTTTGTTCTGAGAAAGGTCCAAGGCTTCAAGCTCTTTCAAGTTGGACAAGGATGAAGGGATGCCACCACTGAGAAGGTTGTTGGAGAGATTGAGCAAATGAAGTGCTTTGAGATCTCCGAGGCCCTCTGGAATTCCTCCTTCAAAACCATTGCTTGAGAGGTCGATAGCACTGAGACTATCTTGAATCTTCTCATATAGTCTCATCACACCTTTGTTTGTCATTGTCATTGACAATTGATATTGAATTCTCATTGAATAATCAGATATATTGAAACTTGTGTTTACTTGCATGTAAATCAAGTGTTCCTTGTGGACTGTTTTCATGGCTGTCCAATTTCGGAAATATTCAAGTGGCAACTTACCCTTAAAACTGTTGTTGGAGAGGTCAACAATCTGTAACCTCGGAAATTCAACGTTGGTTTTAGGTTTCCCAATCACACCATGAAGCCCATTAGATCTCAGTATCATAACCCTCAAATGATGAAGAACACCCAACCAAGAAGGAAAGACATCATTTATCTCATTTTGTTCAAGATTGAGAATCTCTAGCTCGGTGCAATTGGCTAATGATTTTGGTATCTTCCCCTCCAGTTTGTTTTGACTGAAATCAACGACCCTCAATGAGCAGCCCCTTGTGAATGTTTCAGGAATATCACCGCTGAAACTATTGTTGCGCAGATTCAGAACTGAAGCAGTGCTGCTTTTGTTGCCCAAGCACGGCGGAAGTTTGCCGCTCAAATTGTTTTTTGACAATTCAAGGACAGAAAGCGAAGTCAGATCGCAAAAAGCTTTTGGTAGTTCTCCTGTAAATTTGTTGTTCCAGACTTTATATTCGAAGATTGCTGGTGGTGGAATTGGAAGGGATCCTTGGAGCTTGTTCGAATAAAGTTGCAGTGAGCGTAGATTCTTCCATGGAAGAACGTCAAAGGATTGCTCAAATCCAGTCAGAAGGTTGCCAGTCAGACATAGAGACTCAAGCGTTATGGTACTCATGTTCATAAACCATTTGGGTATGTGTCCCTCCAGTTTGTCATCGGCAAGATCTAAAAGCTCCAAATGGTTTTGATCACGCAAGAAACTGGGAAATTCACCTAGTTTGTATCCACTCAACGTCAAGAGTTCAAACTGTGGCGGAGGAATGGTAGCATTGTTGCTATTAAGCAGAGACAGATTGTTATACGATAACTGGAGTGAAACAAGGTTTCTGAACTTAAGAAGAAGGTTCAAATCCAAAGTACCACTAAAGAAGTTATATGCTAGGTCAAGATATTCAAGATTTTGAAGCCTATAAATAGACTCAGGAATCGGACCGTGCAGTTTGTTGGCACCAAGGCATAGTGAGATTAATTGGGTATGGTTTCCTATCCAAGATGGAATTTGACCAGTTAATTTATTTCCCTGAAGCGTTAAGGACGTGAGCTGAATCAAGTTTCTAAGAGAGGATGGAATATTACCATATGAATTGGTTTCTGTCATGTCTACAAAACTGAGTTTGGTTAGATTACCAATCCAATCTATGGTACCAGATCTGAAATTGTTGTGAGAAAGCGACAGATAAGAAACTTGGAGAAGGTTGACAAATGTGGAAGGGATTTTCCCAGAGAAACGGTTATCAGAAAGGTCTATAAAGTTCAGTTTCGTAAGATTACCGATTGAAGATGGTATCACCCCTGAAAAATGACAATCTCCCACATCAAATTCTTTCAATGATTTGAGGTTACCAATCGATTCCGGTAGATGACTAGAGAAACTTGTTCCTTTGAGCAACAATAACTCAAGCTGGCTGCCCGAATAAACTAAATAATTGGGTTAAGGAACTGATTAATTACTCAAATACTAAATATTTTGACCTGTTTACTTTTCCACCCTCATAGCTTTCATAGAGAAAATGATTCAAGAATAATATGCCGAATGAACTTCATAATAACGCCAAGATCTTACATTCATTGCATAAATGAATGAAGAAACAGATTTCTTTCTTATCATTTTAAAAATTCTTTAAGCAAGTGGTTGAAAAGTTTGTTTATACAATGATTTTCCTTCTTGACATGGTTTCCTTCGTGTTCTCGTCTTTTCTTTGGCTGACTAATCATTTAAAGGAAGGGGATAAACAACACATAAGAGCCTTGCTCAACTCAAATCATTTTGCAATAAAATACATGACTGTCACAGCAGCAGAATATAAACTTGGAAAAACCGACTGACGCATATCAAACTACTAAACATGACTTAAATGTAATGCTAATGGAAGAAATCTGCCAAGATATCATATATAATTAGTCGCTAAGAATTTAATGACAGAACACCACTAATCAAACATCTGAATACCAATGGTTGCCCACTGCATCAACATGCTTCCATACACTACCAGTCTTCACCACCATCATGTTCACGCGGAGGTTAATGATCTACAAAAACTCAGAGTATTTTCCACATGTCTGAATTTCGGTTAATCCACTAACTTTTCTGCCCATAAGTTCTTTTGTTTTTCTTTTTTTTTCATTTTCTTAATCCAGAAAACTCGAATGACATTTGAGACATAATTATCTTGCTCAGTTGTGGCCGCATGAGAGCTGTGTTGGGTTTTTTTTGTAGTGCTTGAGTTAGATTTGCGTGCGTTTTGGGTGATAGGTTTGTTCGTAGGATTTTTTGGAAAGATGGGTTCAGGTTGATGATTGAACTTGTAATGTAATTCAATGAGTCCAAAAGTTAGAAGCAGATCGCTTTTGAAGTTGTTAATGTAATTCAACTTCCATTTTGAACAATGTCGATCCTTGTAAATCCACCAGACTGATCTTTTCACTCCCTAAAACATTTGCTCCATCAAAGCCAGCAAAGCAGAAATCAATGCCATTGTTACTACTGACAAAGCTCATGTTTCTCTTTGACAAAAATTGACTAAGAGATCTATGCTAGCACAGTATTTTTTTTTTATATATAGTAATCGAGAATATTATAAAAAGGTGCCCCCATTAAGAAAATGAGAGCTGCTAAGAAAGATTACATGGGAAATTATAACGCCAAGATCTTACATTTATTGCCATAAATGAATGAAGAAACAGATTTCTTTCTTATCATTTTAATAATTCTTCAAGCAAGTGGTTGAGAAGTTTGTTTATAAAATGATTTTCCGTCTTGACATGGTTTCCTTCGTGTTCACGTCTTTACTTTGGCTGAATAATCAATTAAAGGCAGGGATAAACAGCACATAAGAGCCTTGCTCAGCTGAAATCAATAAGCAATAAAATCAATTTTCCCATAAAAACTGTTAAAAGAAAGGTCTAGATAGCTCAGTTTCGTAAGATTTCGAATCTCACAAGGAATTTTAGAGTTGTTGAAGTCGTTGTCGGCAAGATTCAGCCTTCTGAGCTGAACAAGGCGGAAGAGGCTGCTATTAGATTCGATGGAGCCATAGAGACAGCTGCTACTGAGGTTAAGGCCAATCACATGACCAGTGTCCATAAGAGCACGTCAAGCTGCCTAATGTCCCAGTTGAAAGAAACAGCAATTGTAAGAAGCATACGAACAGTAGAAAGTTTGATGACAGGACTAAACATGTCATGAAAATCTAGGAACAGCAATTGTAAGGATCATATGAACATTAGAAGGTTTAATGACAGAACTAAACATGTCATGAAAATCTATGCTATTTTTATGTAAATAGTCCATCAAGTCGTTTTTTTAGTTTGAAGACTCATTTGCAAGGCATCACATTTTTACCAGGAGGACGAGAGTATAAAAACTAGGTGTCATTCTTTAATAATGCTTGAAATTTGGTGTGCATTGCTGCATGCCACTCATAAAAAGAATTTGCATGAAAAGCTTACATTACTCTGTTTTTTTTTTTTATCAAATGAATATATCACTGGTACTTAATTTTTATTAAATAAATAGGAATGGTAAAATTCAAAATTAAAATAATTTGATTATTAAAATTCTGATACTATATCAAAAAATCATTTCACCTAAAAATTTAAACTATTAGGTGAGGTTTCATAATATGATTTATATTATTTTATAACACACCCCCATAAATAAAAATTTTTAAGTTTATAACTTCTACAAATTTATTTTATTTTATATTTAATTTTTATCAAATAAATAAAAATAATAAAATTTAAATTTATGATCATCTAAATTTTAATATTAAAATTTTAATATCATGCGATTGGCCAGAATTATTTCACCTATCGCATTCAACATCATCCCATGAGCAGCAATCAGCACATTCGCTATCAACTCTCCATGATGCGGATAACCAGAAGGATCAGACGAAGCAGACTCATTAATGACAAGGCTTTCCTTGAACTGCAACAAGGCATGGCTCTCGTCGTCATGACATTGGCTGCAAGGAAGGAGAAGAATAACTAGCTCTAAGATGAAACAATGACAGCAAATGGAGCAAAAGCATCTGCATGGATGAGAAACACACAGTTGATGCCATTTTTCTTAATAATCTCTCTCTTTAAAAGTAAACTAACGTTTAGTTTTGTAAGCGTTATTTATTTATTGAAAAGTAATTTTTTTAAAAAAAAATAATTTTTGATATTTAATAGTATAATAAAAAATAAATTAAAAAATATTTTTTAGTATTTGATTATATTATGGAACATAAATTGAAAAATAATTTATTAATATTTTATTTTTTTTAAGTATATTAAAATAATAAGAAACAAATTTCATGAATTAAAAAATTGAATGATAATGAAATTGAAAAAAAAATCATAAATTATCTCAAATAAAATAAATAATAATCAAAATCATAAAGATCAAATCTAAAAAATAAAAGATGAAGAAATTAAAATAATAACAGTTAACATTTCATAAATTATTTCTAATAAAACAAGTAACAATCAAAACAATTAGAATCAAATTTAATAGATAAACAATTTCAACAAAAAATAATAATAATTATAAAAATAAGAACCAAAATTAATATAAAAATTAAATTTTAAGAGATGAAATTGAAAAATAAATATTTAAAACAAAATATATATAATAATTAAAAATTTAAGGATCAAATTTGATATAATCAACAAATAATATGATATTTTTAAATTTTTTAAAACATATGAAAAATGTTTTTTACTCAAATGTTTTAGAAAAATATCTTTTTAAAAACTAAGTTAAATTTTTCTAAAAAATATTTTATGTTGATTAAATTTTTTTTAATGGTAAATAAATATAAAAAATTTTAAAAATTACTTTTTTAAAAAAAATATTTTTAATAAGTAAAATAGAGGAGTTTATATAGACAAAAATGTCGAGTGTTATTCGATACAAATAAAATATATATGCATTATCACCACAAATAATTAGTTCTTGTGAAGGAAACAAGATTTGATTGAAAACAACGCATGGGTGGATGAAGGGATTGATTATGTAAAGATACTAAATAATTTGAATTAATGGAATTAATTAATTTAAAATAGTTAGAATTTGTTTATGAAAAACATAGTGAATATGGATGCATTTAATATCAAATTAAAAGAGGATCCACTTATTTTCTGGGTTAAAATTTTATTTAAAATTAATATTGAACAGAAATATTTTCATGTGGATGACTGGATTTAATTTTATAACTATTTTATGCATAAAAATCACTCTTATCGAGGCGGAGTAAACTAATTTCTTCGGTTGAGATTGAATTAATAAAACTAAACTCTCAATTCAATATACCATCTTATTTTTAGTATATGAAATTAACAGACCATCCAAGAGAAAATCACTCTTATCCTTGCAACTGAAAATTAAGAAAGAGAAGACAAGGAAAAGAAAATACAATCTTAACATGATTGACAAACTAGAAAACACCTTAATAATTAGAGATCAACTTCTACGCAGGCGAGTCTTCAAATCTTGACCCTTGTATTGCCACCTCGCAAAATAATTCTTCACCAGCCATTCATACTTCCTTGTGTTCATAGCGCATCCAAGAATCACTCCAATTACCAATCCACTTGCATAACCTATCACCACCACATTCCAGCCAAATTCAAGTTGAGATCCCGAGCCTTCATCTTCTTTGGATGGTGGCAAGGAGTCCTCATCATTTCCGCATTTGTTTGACAAAGGCTCCCCACACAATCCTGAATTCGCATCAAATGAAGTGTTGTCAAATGTTCCGAATTGGTTTACTCGTGGTATCGGACCTGAAAGAAAATTGTGGGAGACATTAAAGACCTCCAGGAAGGTGAGCTGTGCAAGTTGGACAGGAATCTCTCCCGAGAGTTTGTTCTGAGAAAGGTCCAAAGCTTCAAGCTCTTTCAAATTGGACAAGGATGGAGGGATGCCACCACTGAGAAAGTTGATGGAGAGATTGAGCAAACGAAGTTGTTTGAGATCTCCAAGGACCTCTGGAATTCCTCCTTCAAAACCATTGCTTGAGAGATCGATAGCAGTGAGACTATCTTGGATCTTCTCATATAGTCTCATCACACCTTTGTTTGTCATTGTCATTGAGTAATCATACCGATTGTACATTGTAATATGCGATGTTTTGAAACTTGTGTTTGCTTGCATGTAAATCAAGTGCTCATCACGAACATTTTTCATGGCAGTCCAATATCGGAAAGATTCAAGTGGCAACTTACCCTTAAAACTGTTGTTGGAGAGGTCAACAATCTGTAACCTCGGAAATGCAACGTTGGTTTTAGGTATTCCAATCACACCATGAAGCCCATTAGATCTCAATATCAGAACCCTCAAATGATGAAGAACACCCAACCAAGAAGGAAAGACATCATTTATGTTATTTTGTTCAAGATTGAGAATCTCTAGCTTGGTGCAATTGGCTAATGATTTTGGTATCTTCCCCTCCAATTTGTTTTGACTGAAATCAATGACCCTCAATGAGCAGCCACTTGTGAATGTCTCAGGAATATCACCAATGAAACCATTGTTGCAGAGATTCAGAACTGAAGCAGTGCTGCTTTTATTGCCCAAGCATTGAGGAAGTTTGCCGCTAAAATTGTTAAATGACAAATCGAGGACAGAAAGCGAAGTCAGATTGCAAATAACTTCTGGGATTTCTTCATTTAGTTTGTTGTTCGAGACTTTATATTCATAGATTGCTGGTGGTGGAATTGGAAGGGATCCTTGGAACTTGTTTGAACTAAGAGACAGTGAGAGTAGATTATTCCATGGAAGAACGTCCAAGGATTGCTCAAAACCTGTCAGAAGGTTGCCAGCCAGAGATAGAGCCTGGAGGGTTATGGTACTCACGTTCATAAACCATTTGGGTATGTGTCCCACAAGTTCGTTATCTTCAAGTTCTAAAAACTCCAGATGGTTCTGATCACGCAAAAAACTGGGAAGTTCACCTAGATTACATCCACTTAACGTCAAGAGTTCAAGTTTTGGCCGAGGAATGGTAGCATTGTGACTATAAAGAATAGACAGATTGTTATACGATAATTGGAGTGAAACGAGGTTTCTGAACTCAAGAAGAAGGTTCAATTCCAAAGTACCACTAAAGAAATTATATGCTAGGTCAAGTTTTTCAAGATTTTGAAGCCTATAAATAGACTCAGGACTCGGACCGTGCAGTTTGTTGACACCAAGGTATAGTGAGATGAATTGAGTATGGTTTCCTATCCAAGATGGAATTTGACCAGTTAATTTATTTCCATGAAGCTTTAAGACGGTGAGCTGGGTCAAGTTTCTAAGACAGGATGGAATGTTACCATATGAATTGGTTTTTGTCATGTCTAGAAAACTGAGTTTGGTTAGATTACCAATCCAATCTATGGTACCAGATCTCAAATTGTTCAAAGAAAGCGACAGGTAAGTAAGTTGAAGAAGGTTGACAAAAGAAGGAGGGATTTTCCCAGAGAAACTGTTATCAGAAAGGTCTAGAGAGTTTAGTTTTGTAAGATTACCAAGTGAAGATGGCATCACCCCTGAAAAATTACTTTCAGCCACATCAAGCTCTGTCAAAGATTTGAGGTTTCCTATGGACTCTGGTAGCTGACCAGAGAAACTTGTTCCTGCAAGCAACAATAACTCAAGCTGGCTGCCCGACTGAAATTCCGGCAAATATCCAGTGAGATATGGATTATACCGGATACTAAGAGAGCGAAGGTTGGGTAGTTGGAATATACCCATGGGGAACTCTCCTTGCAATCCACACTCCCTGAGAAACAGAGATGACAAAGAGGATAAATTTGCCATGATTTGAGGTACCTTGGATGATATTTCCACTCCGCTGAGATGGAGCACCTCCAAGTTGGTTAATGCTTCAACTAAATCTTGCAGACCAGGCTTTTGGAGCTTCAAAGAATTTACTCCCAAATCAAGGAAAACCAACTTGGAAAGCTCTAAGATCTCTGCTGGAATCTGACCAGTGAAGCCAGACATTGAGAGATTTAGATCAAACAGCCTTGTGAGATTTCGAATCTCAGAAGGGATTTCGGAGTTGTTGAAGTCGTTGTCAGCAAGATTCAGCCTTCTGAGCTGAACAAGGTGGAAGAGGCTGCTATTAGAGTTGATGGAGCCATAAAGAAAGCTGCTACTGAGATCAAGGCCGATCACATGAGCAGAATCCCGATCGCATTCAACACCCTCCCAAGAGCAGCAATCACCGCTTTCTCCATCAACTCTCCATGATGCAACCTTGGGATAAGCAGAAGGATCAGAAGAGGCGGACTCATTAATGACAAGGTTTTCCTTCAACTGCAACAAGGCACGACTCTCCTCATCATTGCATAGTGGCTGCATGGAGGGAAAAGATTGACAAGCTCTAAGATGAAAAAACGAGAGTAAAAATAACAACAGCATCCGCGTAGTTAAGAAACGCACAGATGATGGCATGTTTTTTTAGTAAATAAACTCTTATCTTTTTTAATAAACAAATAAGAGAAATAAAGCAGTTTATATAGACAAAAATATTCAGTCTGGTAGAAAAGTAAACAAAGTAGTGTATTTTTCATTGATTTGATTGAAAACAATTGAGATTTTTCATTGATGTATCCTTTTAGATTTTCCAATGTGCGAAGAATCTGTGTTTACAAATAATGTAGAGCTCTTAAGGTCTCTGTGATAAAAAAAAAATAAAAAAAATAAAAAAACCCTTCAATTTCTTTTGTTCAATTTTGATCTCCTAATTTCTTGTTCTAAATAATTGAATGGGATCGATGTAAAATAACGTGAAGCAATTGATTTAAAAAAGAAAGTCTATTTATGACGAAACTAGCAGGGTAAAATTGGGTTATGAAAAAAAAAAAAAAAAAACTGTAGGATTACTGTGAGGTATATTTAGGCCAAAAACTCTAACAATTGGTCAATTCAAATATACTCTTATTATTAAATAAGAAAATAAAAGTAAAATGTAAAGTTCGATAACCTGTAGGTTTGTGGAATCTTTGAAGTGGATTGTAAAAAGTCTTCACACTACAGCTTGGAAATATGCAGCTCCATATGCTATTAATCATTGGAAAAACTTTTAGCCAAATTTTTCGTTTTTCAGTTGAGAAAATCCAATTTTTTTGTTAAATAATTACACTAATTATTTCTATATATTGGATCGAGCCATCAATCGATTATATATATTAAGTAGCTATTAATGTTTCCTCTATTTGATGGCATAACCAATTAACGAAAGGGATTTCTAAGGAAAAATTATCTCCTCAATGATGAAATAACAAGAATAAAAATGTTTTCAATAAATATTAAAAGGAAAGCTCTCAAAATATTTTTCCTTCATTTTTTTTCTTTTTATTTAGTTTAAAATTTTATTTACATATTTTTTTCTATTCAGTATTATTTGATTTTTTAAAATTTTTTATATAAAAATAATTTAATAATTTTTGAGAAGTGAAACCTGAAAAAATAAAAATAAAATATTTTAAATGTCTCTACACTCCCCTTTCCTCCTATTATTCACAGAATTTGTAAATGGTTAGAATACATTTGTAGACTAGGCAACTAATACATTTGTAGATATGTTTGATATTGCATTTTAAAAATATTTTAAAAATAATTTATAATTTATAATTTTTACTTTTACTTTAAATTAATATATTTTTAATATTTTTAAATCATTTTGATTGGCTGATATCAAAAATATTTTTTTAAAAAAATAAAAAAATTATTTTAATATGTTTTGGAATAATTTAAAAAAAACTCACTATCACACTTTTAAACACCCTCTTAAACTTGTTCAACATTGTTCTTTTTTATTTTTTTTATGTGGTTAAAGCCAAATACATTTTTGCCTTTATCTTCTAATAAAAGGATTTTAATAATGTTTATGGTGATACTAGTAAATGTTATTTAAAGAATTTCTTTTTTCTGTGATGTTTATATTTGGTGTAGAGATTATTATGTCAGCGAGGTGTCCTTACCCATGATAAACTGAAATTTTTGCTCCCTTATAATTTTGATATAATTAACATATTTTGTTTTTATTTTTTTATAAATTAATTATTTTATTTTTATTATTAATTTTTATTAAATATACATGCATGAAACACAATCTACTAATCAGTTTTAATTTAATTGATTTTGTTCAAATATCAAATATTATAAATCATGGTTTATATCTCATTATAATGCTTTATTTTATAATACTTTAAGTGCCAATGAAACTAATTTAGTGAAATTTAATTGTCTTCGAGTCGATTGCACAAAAAATTCAAGTCCCTTTGGATTTCCATCTTCATCTTCATCAATTACAATTGTAGCATTGTCATTATATCGGATTATCATGCCGTTGTCGCATTTGAGTTCTTTATATGTATGCACAACTACAACTCTGATCAATATCATTCCAGAGGTGAATTTTGAACTGCTTTCTTAATCACAAAACAATAATAACATCGTTGATATGAGCATATCAGCACTTACTAGTTTTTATGAATTGAATACACGTCAATTCTCAAGCTCCACAATTATCTGCTACATTCAAATGGGTTTAAGAATTGATCATATTCTTTTTTGAATATGTTATTTTAATGGAAAAGGGCAAAAAAAAATATTGTTTGTTCAAAACAAAAACAAAAAAAGAATCCTGCGAAGTTTTTCCTAGCAAATGCCTTTTTCTTTTAGTTCTGTATTCTTATCTCAAAATAATGAATTGTGTTCGAATAGGTATTTTGGATACTGCCACTGAAATAGCTTTTCTAGCTATATTTTCTGCTCCCCCACCCATATATTTTCTGCTCCCCCACCCATTTCATAAATCATTCTACTTGGTTTAATGACAAGTAGTGCACATGAATAGCTAGTCTCCGTCTCCAAGGACCATCTGGCACTACTGTCAATTTCATTCAGAGTCTAAGTCTTCGTCTTGTCTCATTAATTTAAAGAGCAGGATGGAATTTGCTAGATAACCAGTTCCAGTATTCTACTGCGATTGCCAATGTTAATTGGCCAACTCTGAAGACGTCTATCACCACCACAACCATCTAATCCCTCTTATAATGACTAATAAGAGAATGATTAAGATGAACGTGGGAGATGGGTCGAAGACTTTGAACAGAATGGTTTAGATATTGCATTACTATCACAAATAACTTCTTTGGAAGCAAACACGATTTGATTGAAAACAATGATAATGTATCTGTTTAGATTTTTCAGAGTGCAGAGAATGCGTGGCTGCAAATAATGGATAGTTATCAAGTCCCCTTCAGTTTCTTTCATAAAGCGCTCAAAAAAAATAAAATGAGTACATCCGGGTTTTTAATAATCCTCAATATTAGGTGACAACTTCTAAAAATCAATCAAACAAATAATAAATCACTAACAACATCACACGAGAACGTGCGACAAAGAGCTCTTAAGGCCTCTGTGATAAAAAAATAAAAATAAAAAAATCTTCAATTTCTTTTATAAAAAGCTCTTAAGGCCTATAGGTTTGTGGAATCTTTGAATTGGATTGTAAAAAGTCTTCACACTACTACTTGGAAATATGCAGCTCCATATGCTATTAATCATTGTAAAATCTTTTAGCCAAATTTTTCGTTTTTCAGTTGAGAAAATCCAATTTTTTTTTGTTAAATAATTACACTAATTATTTCTATATATTGGATCGAGCCATCAATCGATTATATATATTAAGTAGCTATTAATTTTTCCTCTATTTGATGGCATAACCAATTAACGAAAGGGATTTCTAAGGAAAAATTATCTCCTAAATGATGAAATAATAAGAATAAAAGTGTTTTCAATAAATATTAAAAGGAAAGCTCTCAAAATATTTTTCCTTCATTTTTTTTTCTTCTTGTTTAGTTTAAAAGTTTATTCACATATTTTTTTTCTATTCAGTTTTTTTTAATTTTTTATATAAAAATAATGTAATAATTTTTGACAAATAAAAACTGAAAAAATAAAAATAAAATATTTTAAATGTCTCTACACTCCCCTTTCCACCTATTATTCACAGAATTTATAGATAGTTAGAATATATTCGTAGACTAGACAAGTAATATATTTTAAGCTTTTAAAGCATGTTTGATATTGCATTTTAAAAATATTTTTAAAAAAATTTAAAATTTAAAATTTTTATTTTTACTTTAATTTAATATATTTTTTATATTTTCAAATTATTTTAATGTGCTAATATCAAAATTAATTTTTTTTAAAATAAAAAAATATTATTTTAATATGTTTTAAAATTATTTTAAAAAATAACCGCTATCACACTTTTAAATACCCTCTTAAACTTATTCAACTTTCCTATTTCTTTTACGTCATTGGTTAAAGCCAAAAACATTTTTGCCTTCACCTTCTTCTTGTAAAAGTATTTTAATAATGTTTCTGGTGGTGATATTAGTAGAAATTATTTAAAGAATTCCTTTTCTTTCCTTGTTCACATTTGGTCTAGAGGTTATTATTTCATTAAGGTGTCCTTACCCATGATAAACTGAAATTTTTGCTCCTTTAAAATTTTGATATAGTCAATATACTTTGTTTTTATTTTTTTATAAATTAATTATTTTATTTTTATTATTAATTTTTATTAAAGATATATGCATGAAACACAATCTACTAATCAGTTTTAATTTAATTGATTTTGTTCAAATATCAAATATTATAAATCATGGTTTATATCTCATTATAATGCTTTATTTTATAATACTTTAGGTGCCAATGAAACTAATTTAGTGAAATTTAATTGTCTTCGAGTCGATTGCACAAAAAATTCAAGTCCCTTTGGATTTCCATCTTCATCTTCATCAATTACAATTGTAGCATTGTCATTATATCGGATTATCATGCCGTTGTCGCATTTGAGTTCTTTATATGTATGCACAACTACAACTCTGATCAATATCATTCCAGAGGTGAATTTTGAACTGCTTTCTTAATCACAAAACAATAATAACATCGTTGATATGAGCATATCAACAATTACTAGTTCTTATGATTTGAATACACGTCAATTCTCAAACTCCACAATTATCTGCTACATTTTTTATGATTTGAATACACGTCAATTCTCAAGCTCCACAATTATCTGCTACATTCAAATGGGTTTAAGAATTGATCATATTCTTTTTTGAATATGTTATTTGAATGGAAAAGGGCAAAAAAAAAAATCTCACGAATTTTTTCCTAGCAAATGCTTTTTTCTTTTAGTTCTGTATTCTTATCTCAAAATAATGAATCATGTTCGAATAGATATTTTGGGTACTGCCACTAAAATAGCTTTTCTAGCTATATTTTCTGCTCCCCTGCCCATTTTATAAATCATTTTACCTGGTTTAATGACAAATATATTGCGCATACTGGATTAAAAGCAAATACAAATAAAACACAAACAAGCAGATTTACACGGTTCCCCAAAACCGGGTACATCCACGGAGGCAGCAGATTATATATTATTGGAGGAATGATACAAACACTTAACTCA